TTCAGTAAGGTTAACTAACCAGTTATTAATGTTTCAGTAAGGTTAACTAACCAGTTATTAATGTTTCAGTAAGGTTAACTAACCAGTTATTAATGGTTCAGTAAGGTTAACTAACCAGTTATTAATGGTTCAGTAATGTTAACTAAGGATAATAAGGTGTAGTTATAAAATGCAACCAATAATTTAGAATTTGTTGTCAGCTGCAGATCTCAAAAAATTGAGACAGGTACGTGTTTGCCACAGTGATACAGCTTCTCTTTTTTTAACAACCCGAGGAGACTCGAGTTTTCTGAGGGGAACGTTGCCCCGTTCTTATTCTATCTGTTCAACAGTTGTTTTCTTTCATGATGCATGAAACACTTTCAGAGCTTTGGACTGCGCTGAGGCCAGTTCAGCACCCGGCCTCCTCCACTACAAAGCCACGCTGGTGTAACGTCGTCTCACTGAAACACGCGAGGACGTCTCTGAGAAAAGATGGAAGAAGAACCAGAAAGTTTTGATAATTTTATGAACAGTTTATCAGTCTGGGACCTCCAAACTGATGGAGAGAGGATAACAGGTTTCTCATTGAGGAACCTTCACAATTGTTACAGAGGTTCAGCTTCTGAAATGATTTTTTATACCCAGTTCTCTTTCTGATCTGTTGCTAATTAACCTAATTAGTTGCAAGATGCTCGTCAAGCTGTTTTTTAGGTAAGTTCGGTGTCACCAAAAGGTCAAAGCAGAAGAAAATCCTGAACTTTAGATTAGAAGAGCAGTAGAGTAAAGGAGGACTGACACATGAATGGCAGTACAATCGTTGGATTTGGTTGTTTTAAAGTTTTGTTAAAGTTCTGCTCCATCACAGCTCTGGAGGAGGAGTGAGGTCGATGGTGACTCATCTTCACTCCTCTCACTCTGTCAAACCCACTCCTTGACACAGGCTGCAATTTAAATATTATAACTTTACTCATGTTTATTCTATCGTCTCTCAGGTTCTCATTTGTTTGCAGAGTTAAGATTTTTTTTTTCTTTTCTCTTTTTTAAGGTAAATGTTTTGGATGATGCCTGAAGCATCTGGTTGGTGTTTTTCATTAAGAAATGATTCCTTTATGATTTATTTTGCTTCTTAAACTCAAACTTTGTGACGTTCACGTCCATGAAGACCAGCTCAGGTTCTTGATTGCACCTCAAACATTGAGGATTACTGTATGTCTCCACAAATATAAACGGGCTCATGGGGTTCACACAGGGACCTGACTAATGTCTGAGTGTTTATTGTTCAGTCGCTCGCACTACCCATAATTCCCTTCTCCCTGCACATATTTTTTTCTCTCATGCTGTGCCGCTGGTTTATTATTTCTTTATTTATTTTCTCTTTTCTGCGTTTTGCTTCTTTATTTCCTCTCCCCTCGGGGTAGAGTTAGGTGCTTGGGTTGCCATGACAAAAGCTTTGATTTCTGCCCAGGTTTTAGTGGATAGCATGGAGAAAAATGAGTTTTTCTGAGAAATGTCAATAGTTTCGAAGAAAGTAATTGCAAAATTCAAAAGCCCTAAAAGGCTAGAGACTCGTATAAAAAAAAAGCTTTTGCCGTTTCATCCCATCTCATGTCCTGCTGAATGCTCAGAGGCTTTACGGCAGAAGTACGGACAAAATAATCAAATATTTTACTGTTTAATGATCATATCTAGAGTTCTTTCTGCAAGTTTGAGCTGAATTCATTGCAGTAACAAATTAGTACGTATTTGATTTGCATCCAAAAAAGTCTAGTTTTCTATGTAAAGTTGCTGTGTGGACATGTACCTGTTAATTACAGCAGACTGAGGCAGGTTAACACCTAAAAACAACAATTCATTGGGAGAAGTCAGATATATACAGCGGGTAAAATAAGTATTGAACACGTCACCATTTTTCTCAGTAAATATATTACTAGAGGTGCTAATGACATGAAATTTTCACCAGATGTTGGTAACAACCCAAGTGATCCTTACATACAAAGAAATCAAACCATAAATGTCCAGAAATGAAGTTATTTGTAATAATGTGGAATGGCACAGGGAAAAAGTATTGATCACATGAAGAAAGGGAGGTGTAAAAAGGCATGGAAAGCCAAGACACCAGCTGAACTCTCTCAGTAATTAGAAAGCAAGCCTGCCCMTTGTCAGTGCAAGTTAATATCAGCTGGTTCAGTCCCAAATGATGGCCAGGTATCACACAAGAACCATCTGATGATGGGTAAAAGTAAAGAGCTCTCTCAAGACCTTCACAACCTTATGGTTGCAAAGCATAATGATGGCATCGGTTACAGAAGAATGTCTAAACTTCTGAAGGTTCCAGTGAGCTAACAGGTAAATGTTGGCTTTTTATTCACCTTGAAGTTAGATGAAACATAATTAAATTCATTTTTTTAGCAAAAATTTAGAATAATTCAGTATTTGAATAGACTTTTGTTGTGGCAGATCCAAGAATAACATTTACAATGATGGAGGAAACGATGATCTTTATCAGTGGTTCCCAAACTTTTTATTTCCTGACTCACAAAATATCCATGGCAAAAACTTGTGACCCCAAATATTACTGGTCTGAGTACACAAACTTCTTTAATAACCCTAAAAACACAGGATTTGTGACAATCTAAACAGCTTGTACACAAATATAAATACTTATTTATATTTATTTTGTGTTTTGTGATAATTATAGGGAAGTATTACATCAGCAATTATTTTATTACCCTTTAAATTTATTTATGGAGATTATCCAAGGTGCTTCATGACCCATAATTGGGACCCAAGCCCAACTTTAGGAACCAAAGTGCAGTGGTTCCTGAACTTTTCAGTTTTTGACCCACATAATAACAGCAGCAGAGACCTGTGCCACCAGCTATTTTTGGATGATAAACATTTATATCAGGTCAACAAAACATGGACATAGTAACAATATTTTTATACTACATTTATCCATTTTAAATATACTAACCGCACTCCTTTGTAACAACTAAATCAAAAATGTAATTAATTCAGAAAATCTTTTCGGGACCCCACTTTGGGCCCCGACCCCAACTTTGGGAAACACTGGTCAATATTTCATTGTTATGCAATATTTTAGTTTTAGGAGTTATTCTGAGTTCATAACTTGTAACGATGCTATTTTGTTTTGGTGAATGATGAGGTTTAAGTCTCGTCATACTTCAGGTTAGTGAATGAAGGAGGTTCAGGCAGCTCCAGTGTGGGTTTAAACTCTGATCTTACCGTCCTCTGGAGTCCAAATCTGCAAACTGAGATAAATGGAGAATAAGTGTTATAGAATAAAACATTCACTGAAGCGCCCCTGCAGGCGTGCGTGTGTGTGCGTGCGTGTGTGTGTGTGTGTGTGTGTGTGTGTGTGTGTGTGTGTTTTCATTCAGCTGCGAAATGGGTGATTTCCTCCTCGGGCTTAAAAAACTGAGGGTAATGATGTAGAATGGCAGAAGTTTATAGAGGCATTATGCCTACCTTTTACTTCTTTACTTACTCTCTCAAGGACTATTTCCCCCCTCCCCAGTCTACAGCGTGTCCCCTCCGCTCCCTTTTTTATGGTGGCATTATTATCTCACTCCCTCACCCATTACTGCTCAGGTTGGAGCAGAATAATAAATTTCCGGATCGTGCCGATGCAGCTTTTCTGCAGCTCAAGCTCATTCTGTGGTGTCAACAGAAACGTTGCAAAGAAACACGGCTAGAAAACAAAGACTGGGGTGTATGTACCCTACTGGTGTTTGTGGCTTCAGACGTCACAATATAGGGTGAGAAATTAAACATGCGTCAGGTCTAAGCAAACTTGTTCTTTTCCTTTTTTGTTTGCATTATTTCTGCTTTAATTTCAGTAAACCACCATCCTCAGTTGGCCCTGCTCAGCTGGGTCCCTCTTCCCCTTTTTTCTTTTTTCTTTTTTTGATTTAGCTTTTTTTTAACCTTCATTTTCTCTCTGTAGTTAAATGTAAATGCGAGCACTCTTTACTTTTAAATCTACTAGCAATCAAGTGAACTTGATTAGTTTCTGTAAATTACAATAAATGTCAGTTTTATTTCTGCACCGACGGAAGGCTGAGCATATTCTGTAATACCAGGTCATTTTATGCAACTGTACAATTTTCTTATTTGCAAAAAAAAAAAGAAAAAAAAGTCTGACTGAGTGTGTCTCTCTGTAGCTGGCAGCCTATGGAGGGAGCATGGACTTCACTGTGTCTTACACCACAGATCAACAAGAGCAAACGGCTGTCAGGGTCACCTCAGAGCCGGACCTTATCATAGAGGTAAGTTTTAAAAAGTTACGAATATCTAAAGCTCTGACTGCCAACTGGGAGCATCTGGCCCATGGAGTGTAAAGGATTCAGTTAAAGCAAGAATTTAAGGCCAGTTTTTCAAAGAGTGTAAACTGGATAAAAATTATCTGGATTTTTAAATCTTCTTTTTTGCTACCAGGATCATGTAATCCATAAACAAACCATTTTCAAGATTTGATCCAATCCATGGCCCAAAATCTGATCAGATTACCTTTGAATAACTGGCCCCAGGTGAATAATATGTTTCTCATAAAGTTATATGTTTATGTTTGAGAAATCCTTGAATCTCCTGTGGAGCTGCTTAAATGCCTGCTGTACAAAGCTCCGCCCATTTGTACATAGCTCCTCCCGACCTGGTGGAACTGCACAGTTCAGTCCTGTTCAGAATAAAAAAAAGGCTTTCATCAAAGAAATGTAGTTTGGATGCCAGGGAGACCCTCTGACCATACAAAAGGTTGTAAACAACATGAAGCATTGTTGTGAAGATGTGCTGAAGTGGGAATGTCAGAAACGGTAGGAGGTTCTTAAAGACACAGGCAAATTTAAAGGTGTTTAGAGTCAATTTTATGTTTAATATATACATCATTTTCATAACAACTGAAGGTAACATTGATTGTGGTATAAATACTAGCTGTGTCTGGAAAAGACACAACAGCCCCTCTTTAACAACGTCGGCGTCAATAAGCTGAGCACTCATTATCTGTGGCAACACCTCTGATTGTAAAGTTAGTTTTCCGTGAAGATGTTTTGCAGTTGGAGCAGAACACTGAGGCGTTAACTGTTAAAATAATGACTTCATGTCTGAACCTGATGAAACTACAGTCAAGGGAAAATAAACTTACCGTATTTATTCAAGTAATAATACGTAAAATTAAATCCATAAAATCATCCATAAAGTTTAGGGGTAGTACTATACTCGGATAAATATTTTTACTTATGTACTTGAACTGAAATGTCTGCAAAATTATTGAGTCCGGAAATGAGACCGCATTGTAAAAATCAGTTGAAACGAGCTCACCTGTGACACTCCTCCGTGCTTCAGAGCGAGATGATAATAGATCCAGGCAGGTGACATGATGTAAAAAAAGGGGGGAAAAGTCTTCCTGTGCCTTGGTAATGATAACAAACTAATGACATTAGTGTGTGACCAAGCCGCTCCTCGAACAACAACACATGTTCGTCTGTAATGGCTGCCGTCTACCAGTGTTCTGAAAAAGTTTGTATGCCTGAAAAAACGTTTCCCCACCAGAGGGGGCGCTTGCGATTAGGAAGTAATCTGCTTTTCCCCCACAAGATGGTCCAAATCTCATGTGAAGTCTCTGACTTTTGTGTTGGCGCCTCCTGGTGGACTGTGTGTAAAATGCCAGAATTCATATGATGCTGCTACAGCTGATATATATTTGTTGTCAAAATATCTTTTAGCACATATGTTGTTAAAATAAAATGAACAGTTCAATGATCATTTTACTGATATGTATAAAGACTGCAAAGGCTGAAAAATCTTGAAGTCTGTATGTAATTGGAGATAGTTTGAGGATTAAATTTTTTATGCTTTTTAAGCTCAAAAAAGGGGGATTGTATTATACATGAGATCTTATTATACATGAATAAATATGGTACCTTTTATTTTCTATGAATCTTCTACTGATGGAGCCTTCAAGTGTTAATGCTGTCAGTCAGTATTTTTATTTTATATTGTCCTGTTGAACATTTATTACAGTAGCACTTTTTCTTGTTGAACATTTATGTGCCAAAGCCACAATAATTTAGAATAAAGGTGAAATTGAATAGTTTCATTAGTTGCTTGAAAATGCCACCGTGTATTTGTGACCGTGTGAGTTTTAATAATTACAAAACACGCTTGCCCCTTTAAACAGATCAACAGAGGTGCTTTGTAAAGTGAATCTATTAACCTCTGGGAATTTTGAGGAGGTTTTGGAGAAGCATAAAACAAAGAGGCTGAGCACCCTCATGCTAAGGATGGAGTTATCTGCAAGTAAATGAAAGTTTAATGAAGCGGCACGGTTTCATTAAACTTTATGAGAAGATTGTGAAACATTTTTTGGGAGCAGTGAACAGTTGTGTGGCTAATGGCAAGAAATGATTCAACTCTGCAGAAACTTTGATGTCAGAATGAGTGTCACTGATCTCTATAAGAATAATGTTCACATAATTTAAAAAAAAACTGTTATGTGCTTATATAGCATTATTTTTCTTTATTCACAAGTCATTATTTTTATTCCTGTGGTGAAAAACACTAAATAAAACTGGGGGGAAAACTCTGACATACACATAGACAAAAAAAAAAAAGCTCTAGCTTGCAAAGAAGTGCTGAACTTAGCAATAAAAAATGCAGATGAAGACTCTCCCACCTCCTCTCTCTGTACGTCTCTATAATGAGCAGGTTGAGATATGATGCATGGCAGCAATAAGCAAAGCAGCAACACTGTTAGTTAACTGTTAATGTCTCCCGTATCACTGAACAACATTGTGTGCATGAGCATGTGGGACACCCGAAACAAAAACAGGCAGACAGGCAAGGTGGGAAAAAAACACACAAACAAACAAAAACAGGCTGTTTTAGTTCTACAGCGTTATGCACCGAGACATGATGAAAACAAATCATCTGGTCCTTATTAGGTAGTATATTTTATTCAAGTAGAGGGATGTTTTTTTTCTAAATATATAGTAATTCTGATAAATAAATTTGCAAGTGATGAAAGCAGTAAATCCAAACAGGGTTGTAGTTGTGTTGTACAGATTAATGACGTTTGAAATGGAACACAACAACACGCAAGAATTCTGAAAGTAACTTTTATTTATGTAATAACTGATGAAATAAAATGAATAAATATGGTGACAAATCAAACTGATTCAATACACACATGTGTAGGAACTTTATATGCACACAGTTGTAATGGGGAAAAAACATGGTGTCGGAAGAAAACCGTGTTAAAAATAATGGAAACAAGAAATAATGAAATATTTAAAACTATAAGAAAAACAGGTGGAAAAAAGAAAGAAAAGTGAAAGATGGATAGTCACAGGCCAGTGCGCTTTTGTTATTTAAAGACATGTCAGTGTGGACAGACTGAGAGGAGGAGGAGGAGGAGGACAAGCACTGGTCTTGTTGTCAACAAACGCCTGTCCAAATGATGACAATAATGAACCGCCTCCACACTGTCAACCAACGTTCTCCTCTTCACTGTCTGCTTCGCCTTTGTCTCGTGTCAGATCTGTTTGCTCCACAGTTTATGCTCTGCACATCTTTTTCAAAATGTTACATGTTTGCGTTGTCCCGTGATGTACAGGAAGGAACTCGTGTTTTGGTTGTAAGTTTGGACAAGTAGTAGAAAACTGTCTCTTTTGTTTCTTAACTCTCTCTATTCTCACGACTTTTAGGAATAAGTTAAAAATAATAAAAATGTAGCATAAAGGAGACATATGATCCTTTAAAATCCATCCTTTTCCTGTAACTCCACAAGCCCCACCTCTTTTCTGAGTTGTCTCAGATCAACTCGTTTCAAGGCTGTTTCTTTAAATGCAAACAAGGCGCTTCAAGCCCCGCCCCCTTCCAGTTTCCAAACTGCTCCATTTTAGTTTGATAGAGGGGTATACGACTATGTAGCTGCGCAGAAACGTTTTATTAGCTCCGCCAAGGGCGAGGTAATGTTTTCGATCGCGTATTTCTGTCTGTCCATCTGTTTGTCGTTCTGTCTGTGGACAACATTACTCAAAAACTTGTGGACGGATTGTCATGATATTTTTACCACGTGTGTACTGGGCCAAGGAACACACCTTTAAATTTTGGTGATGTTCTGGATCACGATGCGGAAACAGGAATTTTTTTACTTTTAACACTGAGATCGGCAAAGCTGTGATGCTTTCACAGGGCTTTTGTGAAAAACAGTGAGTTGGATTGGACAGCACGGACTTCAAACTTTAAAAGTAATGTTAAAACCACATTTAATGATAATTATTGCCATAATATGCGCATTTAGATAACGTTTTGTGACCAGGAAGTGCGTGACTGCACCATGAAACCTATTTTTCCCATTTCCTCAAACACACCACATTTCCAAAAAAACGAATCAAAACAGTTTGTCTCTACTAGGCTTGTAAACAGAGAGCTGCCGGGCCTCAAAGTTTGGAGACGGGGGGAGCCAGGAAGCACTTTATAAAGAGAGTCAAACCATTACAAACTCATACAAGGAGATAAAACAGACGTTTTACATGGTGAAATGTGACTGATGAAAACTTAGGAGCTTAATCCCACACCAGTTTGACCATGAATAACGTCAGGTGATCAGTCTAACTTTTTTCCCCACATTGGACTCCACCGAGAAAAAATCCCGTGCATACTGCCTGCTTAAATGTTCACTACGTCAGAACTTATTCAGCAAATGTGTTTCCATCTCTGCTTTTAGTGCATTAACTCTTACAGGATGGAGGAAATTGGTCTTGGCGGAGGTTTGCACTCTCCGAGTGCTTCTAGTTTACAAATGAACTAAAAGATGGGAACAAGGGAAGACACATTTTGGAGCCAGAGTCTGACCCAGAACCAGAGTCTGACCCAGAGCAGAATGAAGACCACCAAATAGTAGTCCAGACCTTTTATTAGAAATTCACTCACAAAAACTGTGATGTAATAATGGAGCACCAAGAGACCGAATTAAACTTTCTGCACTTCTGGTGACTTCAACACAACAAAATGTATTTAACTGCTGGGAAAGTGGATTTAGCATGATTTGACTCCTTCAAGTGCTAAAATAAATGACAGTTTCTGGCTGCCATCACTGGAAATAATGTCTGCTGAGGATTTTAAAAAAATACGCTAGCTAAGAAAACCCAGAAGATCCCTTCCAGAGTCGGTGTTTGCTTCATTTATTCTGTGTTATGATGAGATCAGAGTCTTAATGAATCGTCAGGAGGCCACACAGACTTTTTTTATTTCCATGTAATTAAAAATCTGATCAAAACATTTTAATAATTTGCAAAGTAATATAAATTTTATTAGTAAATATTATAACAATGAGTTGTGTGTGTCTATTGTAATCATTTTAAATACTTTTATTCTTATTAGGTATCCAAACATTTTAAAGCTCCTTCATGTTTAGGTGAAACTTTTGTTAATGTTTTATTGCTGTAGAATTCACAGCATAAAAATACATTTTATAAATCAACAGCTTCCAAACATTTAACTGGAAAGAGGATATTGGTTTGAGTTTTAATACAACTTTAATACATTTTGTTAAATGTTCTGTGCTTTTGTTTTATGTTTTTATTTGACACTTTAAAGAAAATTTGTCCTTTATGACATAAACAGAAAAGATGTAGTGCTTCCTTCTCTGTTCAAATTACTTCCTCTCAGTTAGTTTATTTATTTATTGCTTTATTGGTTTGAACCCCCCTCCTCCACCACTGGTAGCTGCTCTCTGTTAGCTGCTACAAGCTATTGATCAGTTCTCAACAAGAGATGGTCAGATCCAAGAAGCTTTTTGATTTGTACTCTGAGATAATCAATGGAAGCTGAAGCTCATTACCTAATGACATCATTAAATCCTGCTGCTTCTTTTAAAAGAACAAAAAGATTATTCTGTCAGAGCGTATCATTTTCTGACTGTATAAAAAAGAAACTTTGCAAACCTTTTTTTAAATCTGCTTCCCAGGGAGGAGGGCTGAAGATGGTTGACAGAAGGTTTGGCCAGCCCGTGTACCCTGCTTCCCCCATCACCAAACGCATCGTCCTCCTTCCAGAGAGCTTCCTGCTGTCAGAGACGAGCCAGCCAATCAGCAGGAGGGACTTCCTGTCCGTGCTGGTCAACGTGACGAGTGTGATGGTGCGGGCCTCGTACAGCACAGACACCAGCGCCGTGTACAGGTTGAGTTTGATTGTTTTTAAACTTTGAGTTAAAATGTGCAGAATTTAAACTCGGTTCTTGATTTGGCCTGTGCATATTTCTTCTTGTCATCTAAAATCAAGATTTTATGAACGCATCTTCTGTCTGTTTTAGGAAATTAATTCTGTTCATTAGTTCTTAAATCCCAATAAGCCAAACTGACTTGTTTATGTTCATAAAATCTGTGAAATTGGGCAGATCGCTACTAGGTCAGAATGGATGTGTTTAAATTTTTGTGTGTGTTTGTGTTCGTGTGTGCAGGCTCCATTCATTCTTAATGCAGGTGGCAAATCCTTACGCTAAAGGAGAGCGAGCGTCGGCTGTAGAAATGTGCACCTGTCCTCCTGGATATGCTGGATTATCCTGTGAGGTAAACACAAAATACAAAAAAACAGTAGATATTTTCGACATGGTAGACCAGGACTATTCAACTGAACTGCTTCAGGGGCCGAACATCCAGCAATTAAAGTCATTATGTAAATAAACCAAATATTACAAAGATCTGTTACCTYTGAAATAGTTTATTTTGCTGCATTTAATCATGAATACAACATACAGAACCTATAATAGTAGTGATAATAAAACATCACAAACAAAAATAACACATTATCTAACACATATTTGACATCTCTGACTTGCCAAATTTTTAAACCAATTTTATTTTCACTTTCATAGTTTTATCTTCAACTGTTTATAGTTTTAACTGTCTTGGATGTTCATAGAAATGTTTTTAGCAGCTTGTAGCCAAGATTCTGATGTTTCTGTAGATAAACACGTCTATGTTTAACTAAAAGAACTTAAAGTTAGTTAAAGTAGAAAACCAGGGGTTTGGATTAAGAGATGAGTGAACCAATTGGCGGGCCGAACTTTGGTCACTTGTGGGCCGGATGTGGCCCGTGGGCCACCAGTTGAATAGCCCTGTGGCAGACTATAAAAAATACTTTCATATTGTCTTTTAAATTAAACCTGCTTGTGTCAACATGTTAAATGTATTTGCATGAAGTTCTCGTTAATTGTGAAATGTGTGCAGTACACAGCTTTGTCCGTCAAACTGTGGAGTTGTGTGTTTCAGGAGTTGTGTGTTTCAAGAGTTGTGTGTTTCAGGTTTGTGTCGCGGGCTATCGGAGAGTCAACGGACATTTGTACAACGGCGTGTGTGAACCCTGTCGCTGTCATGGACACAGCAGGCAGTGCCACGAGATGACAGGCCACTGCCTGGTAAGATCACTAATTAGTTCAATGTGTCTCCTCGTTGGGTTTCCTCTGAAGGATGATGTTTGACAACAAAGCTGTCTGTGGCGGAGCTGTGGAGCTGAAGACACTAATGCAGACAGACTGTCTGCAGACAGGCAGGAGGTTTGGATAAAATAACTTTAATTAAAAAAGTAAGAGACTAACAAGAACAAGCAAAGAGAAACAACCAACAGAAAGTGTAAAACTAACTGAATTAATGCTTGTTTTTAAACTCAGCTGAACATACAGAGGTTGGACAATGAAAGTGAAACAGCTGTTATTGTAGTGTGGGAGGTTTCATGGCTAAATTGGACCAGCCTGGTGGCCAGTCTTCATTAACTGCACATTGCACCAGTTAGAGCAGAGTGTGAAGGTTCAATTAGCAGGGTAAGAGCACAGTTTGGCTCAAAATACGGCAATGTACACAACATTATGGGTGACATACCAGAGTTCAAAAGAGGACAAATTGTTGGTGCATCTGTGACCAAGACAGCAAGTCTTTGTGATGTATCAAGAGCCACAGTATCCAGGGTAATGTCAGCGTACCACCAAGAAGGACCAACCACATCCAACAGGATTAACTGTGGACGCAAGAGGAAGCTGTCTGAAAGGACGTTATGGTCTAAAACCAGCTGTTTCATTGTCTAACCCCTGTACTTTGAGAGATAAAGTAAGATTATTTCCTTTAGATGAGCAATTCAGGGGTCCAAAAATAAACACTTGATTTTATATTTTGGTGAGGCGTTGCCCAGTGTTTGCTTTTATTCTTGGCATTACTGTGTTTTTAGTGAAAAGCTGCAACAAATTTTGGTCAAACTGTACCAGAGTGAAGGTTTTAACCCTCAGTAAGGCTTAAAGGGCCAATATTATGTGTTTCTCAGGCATATATTTAAATACTATACCATAATAAAGTACCTATGTCACCTTTAGCTGTTATTAAAATGCTGTTTTTATGTTTGAATAGAAAAATAAACTTATCTTCTCATCACTTCCTCTTCTAAACGCCTTAAAATTGGCCTCTGTCTCTTTAAGAACCACCTTCTGCTTCTGTTCCGTCCCGTTCGGGGGGGGGGGCTTACATGTGCTATGATGCAGTTTACTTGGCATCTGTAAATACATTTCCTCAAAGGTATTTTTTATCTGAAAAGAGCTTCACTGAGTGAGAGGTAATGTTGAGAGCTCAGCAGACAGTTAGGTTTCACTTTCAGTTTCACCCGAGAGCCTGCAGGAGTCACGGGCGGGGTGTGTGCAGAGGGTGGGGTGGAGTGGGTGCGCTCTGCCATGAGGAAGTTTGGCTTAAAGACACGTCCCAGAGGCGTTTCTGGTACCAAAAGGCGTTTCTGGTCCCCACCTGTCGTTTTGCTCCTCAGCATGGCTTCATAAAAACACTGCAGGATTTCTCAAACATGCATGAATGAGTCAGAGCAAGGCTTTAGGCATGTTTTTATGAGAGTATAACATTATAACATGATATAAAACTCAAAAAAGTTTATTTTACATGATATTGCCAATGGGACATATTAGTGGTGCAACAACAAATTCATTCCAATAAGAATTATTATTCTCATTTACAACCAAAACAAAGAGGAAACTACAAAAATGGAGGAAAGTGGGATTCAACCGGCCCTGTCTTCGTGCTGAATGAGTCTGAGTTTGACACGAGCTTCACTGTGTGCAAGGCAAAATGAAGATGTAGCACTTTGAGAACACAACAAATGCACAGGGTAACATGAAAAACCAATTTTGAATCGAATCGTGGCCCCAAAAATCAGAATCTGGGACATATCCTTCATCATCCACATTTGTAGCTGTTAAACACATTTTGTTGTGGGCTTTGAGTCTCTAGGAGTGCAAAAAAAAATTTTCTTTGAATTTATTCTCCTGGTGCTGCGTAGATATCTTCATATTCTGTTTGGGTCATATGTTTTAACTCGTTCAGATTTCTGTTCTTTCTACGACATTTTCTAAACTATTACGTCACAATATTCACAAAGGAACTTCAAAATAAGGTGCGGACTTACCGACTACACTTAGGTGGTCTTCACTCTCCTCTGGTTCTGGGTCAGACTCTGGCTCCAACATGTAAGGTTGGATGGACAAGTTGATACATGGATTTATTAAAGAGACAGCCTCAAAACGAGTTGATCTGAAACGGGGTGAAAGAGGGGCTTGTGGAGTTACAGTAAGGAGGAATTCAGTGAAAACGAAGGATTTAAAAACATATGTCTCCTTTAAGATGCATGAATGATTTTATTTTCAACAATGGAGAGCCATGCTCGCCCTCTAGATGTCATTAGAGGAACTGCAGGGTTAGACACTGCACACTCATTCATAATTTATGCACAACACACACACACACACACACACACACACACACACACACACACACGTTAACCCTCTTCTGTGCATCTCAACACACTCACTCCCCAGTCTACCCGCAGCCTTAGGCTAATGCTGTCAGTTTCCATTGCTCTAAATTCACACATACTAAAACACACAGTAGTTAGCACACACAGAGAACACACACACACACACACACACACACACACACACACACACACACACACACACAGACCTGTGGGTTTTGTATTACCATGTTATGTTTCATTATAGATGAGGAGGATGGGATGTGTCAAAGGAAGACACACATTGAGAAAACAAAACAAAACTCAGGAAAAAAAACACAGTCGGGGAGGATTTTTCAGATACACACACACACACACACACACACACACACACACACAATGTGACATTAACTCACTCACAACCACACCTGCACCTGTCTCGTATTTTACACGCAGTGACAGACAGGCAGTCAGATCCATCAGCTCACCTGCGCTGACAGCTGTGGTTTGTAGCTGCAGCTGAATGACTGAGTGATGCTGCAGACGTGCAGGTTGAGAACGCGTGCACGTGTCAGAGTGTTTTAGCTGCGTCAGGACGTTTGATCTGAGAAATCAGGGATTTGAAACATCAAATAGACAAATGTTGGTGTGAAGCATGCAAACGTGTGCTTTAATGAATGCACATTAACAGAAAAGGGATTTCTTCAGTTTGTTCTGTGCTATAGGATCTGGTGTGCATGAATATTATGGTGATGAAAACAGCTTTTAAACTGAACTTTAACCTTCAAATTCCAAAGATCGCTACTTGTGCTGCTTGTTCTCTGCAATCATTTTGACAGACGATTATTAACAACGTTTTTGTGAAATGAAATCAAAATATTGTATTTCTTTATTCTAATTCAGTGCTATACCATGTGAGCTGATTGATTTTTGCTTGTCCAACCTCTAGAAACAAAACATTAATTACACTTAGCAGCGCCAACGGAGTCTATCCTTAGGTTGTTTCTTATGCATTAGCTATTAGCCCAACTTCAAAAAATGTATGTCTCAGCAGTCAGCATTTGTCTCTTCTGTCTCTGTCCAGGAGTTTGTACAAAGGCTGGTTGTATTATTTACAACATGAGGATCAGATAATGTAAATGAAAAAATACGAGAAACGATGTTTAAAAAAATATATTTTTAAAGTTGGCAAACGATGACGTCCTAAACACTAATGACAACTAATATATATGAAATAAATTGCATTTTATTTACAAGTGCAGCGTGAAGGCTGAGTGCTGAATGACTTTGCTGAAATTCCTTAAACGAATGAGTTGCTAAAGTTGAAACAAACAATAGTGGCTAAAATGAACAAAGTTGTAGCTTAGAGCTAAACTTAGCCAAATTAAAACTGTACAAAAGCAACATTTGTTTGTTTGTTTAACTTTATTCATTTCATAAAAACGCTAAAGTTTATGTACAATAAAAAATAAAAGAAAATACAAATACAAAGAAATAAAAGGAAGCAAAGTGAAGGCAAATTAAAGCGAATACGTTGAAATAGATGTCATCGAACAAGGATTTTTAAGGAATTAAATCTTAAAGCCCTGTCACACTAACGTTTTAGACAACTTATAGCAATTTGTGATTTTTTTATGTATAAATTACTAATAAAAGTTATAACTGATTAATTTGTTAGCATTAAATTATCTACATAAGCTTCTAGTTGATTTATTTTAATTCCATCTTCAACGTCTTTAAAATGCTCATAAGTTGTCTGGATTGTTATAGTGTCAGCTCCTATAATAAAGCTTATGTCTAAATGTAGGTTTAAAACTTCAATGCAGTAAAACTGTACCTGAATGCAGTAAAACTGTAACCTGAATGCAGTAAAACTGTACCTGAATGTAGTAAAACTGTACCTGAATGCAGTAAAACTGTACCTGAATGCAGTAAAACTGTACCTGAATGTAGTAAAACTGTACCTGAATGCAGTAAAACTGTATCTGAATGCAGCAAAACTGTACCTGAATGCAGCAAAACTGTACCTGAATGCAGTAAAACTGTAACCTGAATGCAGTAAAACTGTAACCTGAATGCAGTAAAACTGTAACCTGAATGCAGTAAAACTGTAACCTGAATGCAGTAAAACTGTACCTGAATGCAGTAAAACTGTACCTGAATGCAGTAAAACTGTACCTGAATGTAGCAAAACTGTACCTGAATGTAGCAAAACTGTACCTGAATGCAGCAAAACTGTACCTGAATGCAGCAAAACTGTACCCGAATGCAGCAAAACTGTACCTGAAAGCTAAATGGCAAAATCATAGAAAGAGCTAAACTTATAAAACGATAAAAATCTAAAATTAAAACTGTATAAAAGCAGCGTTTGAGGACAAATTAGAGCAAGCATGCTGAAGTAGTTTTAAAAAACAATGTTTTTTAATAGAAATTGAAGAAATCTCAAATCTCAGTTTTGTAAATAAAGTTAATTTTAAATTTATAATATTAAAAGTCACATTCCTGATCGTTTTGAAATATGACGATGAAAATAAATAACGTGGAAGTGGTTTGATATAGAAATATATAGAGAAGAAACCATAAAGAGGAAAAGGACAGTGTGAATGCTGAATCAGCGTTGTCTCAAATGACCAGAGAGGTTGTTTTGCAGTGAATTGACTCGCTCTTTGCCACCTCCAGGACTGCTCCCACAACACGGCGGGTCATTACTGTGACACCTGCCTGCCTGGTTCCTATGGGAATGCCACCCGTGGGTCACCGGAGGACTGTCAGCCATGTGCCTGCCCACTCAACATTCCCAGCAACAAGTAGGTTCTGGAGCCTCTGGGGTTCATTCTGTCTTGAATGTGGTCCCAGATGTCCTCTGACTCATTTTGCACTTTAAAAAAAAGTCTTAATTTTCTCTTTTTCTGATAAAGTTAGACATCATGACTATAGAAAGGGATATAATTGTTGACATTCTGTTAGAAATATCATCACCACAGGTAGATGAGCAGTGGATGTGCAGAAGCACCGTCGCTGTAGGAGGAAATGTCATCATCATAACAATCATCAGGAAAAAACTAATGTCACCTCGTTAGGAAACTTAAAAATTCTTCACCATACTCTGACTCTTGTTTGAAACGTCACTCCTGCTGTGCTGTCGAGGGTTAGATTACACTTGCTTAGATTACACAGATAATTTCAGAGGGTTCAGAGCACTTCAGACACACACAAAGATCTATACCGAGTCTATGTAAAGAAAACAGACTTTATTTTTCCTTTTCATGAAACTTCTAGGTTAGACAGTTGCTCAAGCTTTGACCTTCTGCTAGAAACTGCTCATTTGCCAAAACAATACATGCATATATCCACGATGATGTCATCGTTGCGAGCACAGAACTGCAGACAAAACGACACAGGCGGCAGCAGCTGAGAATTCTCCCGCAGTCGTGAAATGCCACGACCAAAATGCTACGAGCTAAAGAAAGACACAACTCTCAACCCGGACAGTAAAAATAACTTGTTGCTACGCCTTTCAGCCCCTTAAAATACACAAAATGTCTGATTAACTATTTGAGTTAGTCCAGTTAAAGATGGTCGTGTTCTTATTGGTTTTATCCAGTGTTATGGACTAATTATCTATCTGTTTCACCTTTGACGCTGTCCAGTACTCGTATATCTTATGATCATTGTCAAATCTGTTTGCCCAGACGTCAGGACTCCGCAACGGACTGAACTCTCTTGTTTGATGAGAAACTCTTTGAGCTGAGAGCCCTGTGATTGGCTGGGCAGTACATTAGTCGATCTGTGATTGGTTATAAGCACGTCATATGATGTTATCATGGTGTATATTATTGGCTGCTTTCCGCTGATGTGTCAGCCACAAGCCGACAGAGCTTCCTGATTGAGTCCTGTTTGTTTGTCGCTCAGAATTAAATCATTATTGACGACCATACACGCAGACTTTCTGTGCATTATTCCAACGTGTTTCTGCATTCTTGGTAAATCATGCGATGACCGAAATTGGCGTTGTTGGCAGGATGATTTCCTCGCACAGACCAAAAACTTATGTTCGGTAATTTGGGGGCATAGGTGTTAGAGCGTGATTGTGTGTCTCGTTTGTCTCTGTGAGGGACTGGAGACACGTCCTGGGTGTACCCCACATCTTGCTTGGTGATAAACTAGAGAATTTGCATTTCCTGTGAAAATGCAGTGTGAAGGCTTCATTCTGAAAATATTTTGCTAAACAGCTAAAAAAAGTTGAAACTAGCATTAAAATAGCTCTAAAATGTAACTGGAGCTAGCACAAGCAGAAAAAGCATGTTTGCTGAATTAAGCATTAAGAAGCTGAAATGATCATAAAACTGTGAATTTAGCTGAAAAAAAGCTCAGATTAGCTAAAAAGTAGCTAAAAATTCAGAGAACTGCTGAAATTATCAGAAAGCCCAAAAAGTTGGAATTATCAAACAGAATAGAATAGAATAGAAATAGCCTTTATTGTCCTGCAGAGGGGAAATTCAGGTGTCACAGCAGCATCAGTACAGAGGTTCACACACTAGTTACTTTTCTAACTATAGTTAGTGCACAAAACAAAATTAACACTGACTAGCCATGATACAACTACTAATAATAAAAATATAATATAAAGAATTGTGCAAGAATAGAAAACGAATAGTGGAAAAGGTCAGGATTGATAGTTAAAAAAGGCAAAAAAATTAAATTAATAAAAGCTTTTCTCAGCTAAATAAAAGCCAAAGGAACAGAACGTATTACAAGAGTTTTTAAAACAAAACATAAAGTTCAGTAAAGATTTATAAACATTTTAAAGGGTTTAATGATGTTGACGACAGCTCCGTTCATTTTCAATGAGAAAAACTTGGCAAAAAAACCCCAAACAAATTAAAGTATAAATTGCTGAAGTACCAAAAGTCCTAGCTGTAATGTCCTGAATGAGCTGAACATTTTGATATACAAATTCTTAAAATAGCACAAAAATTGTGGATCGAGTTATGTGCCGAAAAACCTGCAGAAGAAAAACAAATCAGAAAAGATAATACTGTTTCTGTAATACTTTAACTTAAAATAAGACACAGCTGATGTTCTACAATAAATGTGTTGTATAATAATTATTATTTTGATAAAATAACTGGCATTCGTTATGTTTTATCCACAAACATTCGCCAAAGCAAGCTTATCTGTAACTGTGAGTAGCTCGTAACGAGCCAGTCATCCAGTGAGTCAGGCTGGAGCCTGGAACCCGAGCCAGCAGGACTATCTATAGTTTTTGGGAGTGGGAGGGTGTCAGAACGAGGGTCAATGACTATCACTTTACTCTGCTTCTCATTTAGGCAACAGGAAAGCTGTGGCATGGGAGGTTTTTTGTTTGTTTCTTTGTTTTATTAGAGTGAAGCTTTATGTGTTTGTGTGATATTGTTGTTGCAGTAAGTGTAGCTGTAGGGTCCAAGAAGTGAAAGCGGGGACACATGTCCATGTGTCCATGAAGAGACAAACAATGGCCCTGACTCAAGTGTGTCTCCTCTTCCTCCTCTCTTCCTCCCTGCCTTTCCCCACACTCGGACAACGCTATCGATCCCGTCAACAACTGCATCGCCTTGGGAACCAACACAGCTTCAGCCCTACCTGCCACCTAGGTGAAGAAGGGGAGGTGCTCTGTGACCAGTGTCAGCCCGGCTACACCGGACCCCGATGTGACAGGTAACACTCAGTTAAAGACGTTTTACACAGAAAACACCAATAATTATAACCAGAGAATTATCATTTCCTCCAAAAATGCAGTGGGAATGCTTAACGCTGAAAAGATTTTTACTGAATATCGAAAAAAGCTAAAACTACCATAAAAATTACCTGAAGGAGCTGAAATTTGCACAAAGAACCAGAAAGAACACGTTTACTGAATCAGTAAGAGCTAAAATGATCACAGAAAGGGATTTCACTGAAAATAAGCTCAAATTAGCTAAAAAGTAGGTAAAAACGCAAGAACAGCGACAAATAGCACAAATCAGCTGAAAGAAGCACAAATTTTTTAAATTAGAAATATAACAGAAAAGTATGGAGAGCCGTTTCATTCAAAATTAAATAAGTAAGTAATAAGTAAGTAAGTAATAAGTAAGTAATAAGTAAGTAAGTAATAAGTAAGTAAGTAATAAGTAAGTAAGTAATAAGTAAGTAATAAGTAAGTAAGTAATAAGTAAGTAAGTAATAAGTAAGTAATAAGTAAGTAATAAGTAATAAGTAAGTAAGTAAGTAATAAGTAAGTAATAAGT